GGTAACCCTAGGCACCAGCGAAGGAAGCAGGTGCTTGGGGCGACCAATGGAAAGGGGCGGCATGTCCGGGTCTTCGGCGGCAATTCGGCGTCAGGTCCCTCAGTCCCTCTCGGAGGGAAGGCCCGCTGCCGAATTGCCGCCGAAGAATAAAGCGGTGTGGTAGAGCTGCCGTTGATCGCGGATTTTTTGTATTTTTTTTTCCCGCTTCGCCGCTTGGGGTGGCAAAAAAGCTGGAGTAAGGGGTAAGCAGCAGCCACCAATGCCAGTCCAAACTGCCACTGCCGTCAGCAGGGCTTTCTGCTGTGCAGGGTGGTCTGGCTTCCTGCCCAATCGTCTCTGCAGCATTGTATTGTATGTTCTTCCCTGGCTGACGACAGGAAGTCCATATTTAATCTCATGGCCTTTAGAGTTTAATCATAAAACTTTACTTATGGAGCTACCGAATGGATTTGCTATATGGAGACTAAAGAAAGACCCCCCCTGCTTTCCATATTAGTAACTCCTAGCCAGAATAAACTATTGAGCTGCCCTCTGCTTTGCACATGAACTAGCATTTTTTTTAAAAAAGCATAGGAAACCTCAGGATTTGTAAAGACTGAAGAAGTATAATTTTGGGGTAAAGACGGTCCTCTCTTTCCCCTACCAGGGCTGTGGAGGGCTCTGCCTGCAATGAAATTGGTGAGCTTTCACTGTGCAAGGGGTTGCACAGCAGGATTTGGGGGAAGGGAGGAGTGAGACAAGGCCAGTGACTCCCATAGCCATTAGCCTCAGTCTTTCTTAGGGAGCGGGGTTGCAACAGCAGCCTCGTCTGAAATTGCAGGGCTGCTGAGTAGGGTACATAGAGAATGTATAATCCCTCAGAATCCCCTTTCACCACTACACATACTTGGGGGTGTTAGGGGATTCGGCCCTGTGTTTTTAATACATTTTATAGTATAAGAGTGGGGTTTGTCTGCTTGAGTAATAAATCATTAGCAGTATCTGTGTCTTGCTAATGAACTGATCACAGTAGAGTGTCTCACCTCTGTGGTTATGCCTCTAATCCTATGGGGATGTGGTGGTTACATTTCCTGGAGTTGTCTGAGCTGCTGTTAAAGATCCTTATTGTGTGAGGAGAATGTGCATTGTTGTACCAGAAGAATACAGAGCTGGCAGTTGTCATGTCAAACAGCCATTTCAGCTAATCTGTGTGGCGCACACAGATTAATCTAGCCCTTTAGACTGCTCACCAGCCAATCGAAACGCTGCCTCAGCTCAGGCGCTTTAATAATGGTGTTTACTTTGTTCCTCACCAGAAAATACTGACTGACAATGTGGTCTTTCTGTTGCTGCAGGTTTCAGCTATGATAGGGGAGGGAGGGCAAGATCTGTACCTTTCCCCCCGCACCCCCCTTTGTCTATCATCCAGAAGTTTTGTTCCACACACTGAACCCGAAGAATTAAACTTTGGATATTAACAGGATGGATCTAGAAAGGCTGCCAATCTCCCACCGCCCCAAGCTCCCCAGGTTGGATGTCCAAGCTTCATTTCAATTAAAAATCAAGCAATCACATACACATGACACAAATACACAAGCAACCAGATACCATACAACAGCCATATGAAATAAGGCACAAACGTAAACGAGAAACAAGACACAGCAGACAACGGATACTCAATAAGAAATGCACACACACCAGACATATGGATAGGAACACTCACACGTTGCTGAAAATAAGACTGTAAATTGCCAGCCAAAATCTAGCCATCCTTTTCAGTTGGGGGATGTTTCTTCGTTGTGTTTTAAAGAATTTGCACCTTCTGCTTGTGTTTTGTGCTATTAAACCAACAAAATCAAGAAAACTTCAGAGGGGGACAGCTCCCTCCATAACCTGCCCCAAGGTGCTTAGCTGTTACAAAGGCCTCTGAACAGTAAGGGAATTTTACGTATCATACCGGATATAATACACGAAAAAAACCCACCTGTGTTTAATGCAAAACATCCTGATTTTCAGTGGCACCTCAATCTGGCCTTTCCTTGAAGGTGTACAATTGTGCATGAACTAATATCTGCGCACACATTTTCTGTGCACTAGCAGTTGCGTGTGCAGATGATAATCTAACAGGGATGCTTTAGAATTCTCACATTCAAAACCAGCCTACACCCGGCAAGACCTGATTCTGCTGTCACTTATACCTGTGCAAACAAGGAGTAGTTCCACTGAAACCTATGGAGTTAAATTGGTGTAAAAACAAAAACAAACCCCAAACACCACCACAACAAAAAAACTGTCAGGGAGATCAGAATCAAGCCCAATCACTTGCTGGTGCAAGTGTTAGATTTTGAAAGAGTTAAACCCCTTGGGACAAATAGAACCTTCACACACAAACCCTAATATGTGCACATGCATGTTAGAATGTATTGCTGGTGTACAGAGGAATTAGTGCACAGAAAATGAATGCACATAAAACTGTATGCGCACAACCTGGAATAATCATTTTAAAAACAGGCTGAAGCTAGCTATGGTGCAAGATCCTGACTCCCTGGGGAGTGCAGATATTAAGTATATACTCCTGTTTTATTTATTTAAGTAATTATTTTTTTAACCAGGAACAGACTACCTGATAGCAGGTCAGGAGGACTCAAGGACCAGCAAACTCCTCGTGAATATGAACAGTCTGGTGAAACCCTGGAAGGCGTATTTGGGAAAACAAGTAGCAGACATTCTTCGAACTGGATGCAAATAATTTCTTCTTCAGAAGTTAAAGTCATGAACTTTATACTTTAATAACACTGTGGAGAAAGGTGTAGCTAGTTCATATATTACCATGCAACACGTTCCTAGCTAAGGGGACAAGAGTGGACTTACCCTCCTGTCCCGCATTATGTGTTTAAACCAGGAATCCTTGGACATGACTTTTCTTCCATAAATGCACACTGTCTTATATGAAATTAACCAACACATCACATGTAGGTTACAAATCACAGTTCTTAGCTTGAAGCCATTTTCACAGCTCCCAGAAATTCACTGTCATGGGAGAAGCAGAAGCTATGGTTTATGTGTTTCCACTCTTCAGGAATTAATCTGGTATCGATACCCATAAACCGCTTGCATAGTGCATTCATTACTCGGATGTCATTTTCTTTATTAAAGTGGCCATTAATGGGCCAAAAAAATTCAGCTTTGCAGGTGGCAAAATATTAAACAGTCAGCATGTCAAATGACACTTGATTTGTTTGAAAAGAGCTATTTTTATTTATCAAGCAAACTGCAGTTAGATCAATATAAGACATGCTGCTTTCTAGAGTGAAAATATCACATTGCTGCACAGAGACTAACACTGGAACTTTATCTGGTGAGGGCCTCTATAGATGGGAGTTGTCAGTCAATGCCTAATGCAAAATCACTGCTGACTCATCTGTTCTATCAAAGGTCTTCTCTTTGCTGTTGTAACACTACTATTAGTACTGTCACACAACAGGTTTCAGATTGACTGCTGCTAAAGGGTCTTGTGCCAGTAGAGTAGCGTCAAGCTACAGCTCCAGACCTATAGGAGGTGGTGATGGAAACTGGCCCTTATTTGAGTTTGTGACGCTACAATAGGTAGAGGTGTGAAGGGGCAGTAGGCTGTACCAATTTGAGGCTTAAGCAAGGTGTTGATGACTGACAGGGCAGCTACCTTGTTATTCTGATCAATGCCCTTGAGGCCATGCTCATTATTTAATTGTCACTACCATTTTCACTCTGCTGTTACTCTTGCCCCCTTTGTGTGTTGTAATAGTCAAGTGAAGTTACCTTCCAGTTGTGCTTGAAGTTTATTTAGCATGAGGAGTAGGGGTGGTAGCATCTCCACTCTAAATAAAGTCCTGCTGTTCTGCAGCAGGAGTCCCCATAGAATTATTTTAGTCTATTCCACAGTTAGTAAGAAGCTAGTCTGTGGAAATGTGAGTTCCTCAGAGTACCGTGGGGGGAAGGGAATGATCTCCTACTGGTCTCTGCCCGAGTGACAGGAAACTCATGACCAAACTGAGAGGGTAAGGAGTATGTTCCATTGATAAGTAAAGCATAAATCAGAACTTTGTTCAAAGATATCCTTTTTTTTGGTTTATGTAGAGCAGGGGTTCTCAAACTGGGGGTCAGGACCCCTTAGGGGGTTGTGAGGTTATTATGCAGGGCGGGTCACAAGCTGTCAGCCTCCACCCCAAACCCCGCTTTGCCTCCAGCATTTATAATGGTGTTAAATATATTAAAAAGTGTTTTTAATTTATAAGGGGGGGGGGTCACACTCAGAGGCTTGCTATCTGAAAGGGATCACCAGTACAAAAGTTTGAGAATCACTGGTGTAGGGGCACACAACTTCATATATGCTGCTTTTGCCCATCGTTGTCTATGCCTACAGGAAGAGGAGATGGGGTTTGATCTGCGTGCCACTTAGTCACTGTAACATGAAGGAATCTCAGATAGCCCAACAGCCATGAAAAGAAAGTGGTGGGTCTGGGTTATGAAGTGTCTGATGAGAAAGAGATAAACTATCAGCATGTTCAATTAATGCAGTTGGGTGACCAGTATCTGAAGACCAGGGATCCCAGAATGCCAGAGCTACTTTTTTATTACCATTGTTTGTTATGCATCAGACTCTACATAAAAGGAAGGGTCTGATGCATACCAGAACAGCAAAAGGACACATTTCAGATTATTTACAAAGAGAAGACCAGCAGAAATTTCTTGGAATATTCTTCCAGCCATTCACAGCTTGGGGGAAATTCTGGATTGGACATCAACTTGAATCGACCCAGTGTGTGTTTACATAAACAACCTCTCTCTCCTCCCTCCACCCTACCCCCTCAATCTATGGATGTACTATATATTGTCTCATCCTATGTTTGGCTGTGAGTTCAAAGGATGGTCAGTATGGTAGCTGGCTGGTCTGATCAAATATTCCCAAACCCATTATTGCTCCTACAATGGCCCTGTTAAAAGCAACTTTCCATTTTGTGCCTGCAGTTTTGTAAGTGCAAGTGTAATCACTTAGATGTCAAACTGTTTGGTTGCAAATAACTTTGGTGATACCTTCGAATTTGCAGGCACAAAATGGGGAGCTGAATAGAAGTTCCTTTCAAAATCAGGTCCATACAGTATATTGCCTCACACACAAGTGGATCTAACTGCCCTTGGATATTGTCACTTAACTATAGGCTTGTTCCAGTTTTAAAGTGATCCTGTGGGAAAGGAAACACCACATGGTTATTTCAGTAGTTAGTTGTTTTAGATTTCTATGCTTTTAAGTAAATATACATGGTACCTTGGGGATTCCTTTATTTGGATTTTCAAAGGAGCCAGGCACTCAGTTCCCATAGAAATGAAGTGGCACATCAGAGCCTAATTTCCTTGGGCACCTTTGCAGATTCCCAGCCTAGAAGTGTGTCCTGTTCACATTGAAACTAACATAGAACTTGTCATCTCCACTTCACAGTTAACAACTAGAATTGTTCATGGGACACATGATATGGATAGAGGTTCCCATCTGATCATATACTTTGACCTCACCCCATCCCCAAAATTTGTTTTCTCTTCAAGAGCACAAACGCTGTGTTTTCTTTTTCCTATAATGTCAGGAGGAAAAAAGCCTCTATTATCCATTTGTTGCTACCTAAAGCAGTAACCAAGAATTTGGCATCTCTGATCAGACATTTAATTAATGTAATAAAACACTATGCACCACTAAAGTGGCTTTCTTTAAAATGTCAGCTCATTAAGTTAGAAGACTAGCAATCAAGTGATATTGTTTTCATTCCTGTATCCAGAATGAGACTTACTACAAGGATTAGCTAGTCATCTTCTTTTAAAGACCATTCAAAATATGGATGTGTTTAGATGACTTTACAGTCCATTCTCAAAGGGCCTGTTAGGAAGAATTTCAATAAAGTAAAGCCTGGGGTGAAAGAATGTGTTCAAGGGCACTCTTTATAACAAATGCATTTATATTTACCATTGTGTGTGCATCTTATCTGCTGAGGGTCATATTCTGGTCTCATTTACCCAAGTGCTATACCATTGAGCTAAAGGGCATTGCACAGGGTGTAAATCACAGGACTAGAAGGTTCCCTCCCCCACTGTTTTACGTTCCAGGGGTGAAACGCACCCTTTTTGTGGGAAAGGGAGATAGGAACCCCTTGCAGTGACCGTTGCAGGTTATGGGCTAGGATAGTGACCAGCGCCTTTGTTCTTTTCAGCGTGAGGGCTGCTGAATCCACATAGTCCAGTCAAGCCCTTCTTCTGATTTGCCACCAATACACTCCTCTGTGCCAGTTTATTTGGCATCAGTAGGAGCCCATCATGCAGCATCCACTCAGCCTGCCTACCCACTCTGTGCAGAACTACTGCAGGAAGTGGGGAATCACCAGCTCAGAGGGCTTTGTGCTACCCTTTCAAGGGGATAGGGATGCCACGCTTACAGAGTTTCAATGTGCCTAATCTTGTATGTGTAGCTTTGTAATGGGGTTCACTCACTGCTAGGGTGCCTCCTCCGGGCCATTCAGGTGATTAGCTCCATCCACATCTGATGCCCAATTGTTTGCTCTCACCGTGGCCCCTCCTACTCTCTGGGACTCAGCATATCCCCTCTGCATGACTTGGCCCAGGTCACTCTATGTTTCCCCTTCCAGAATACCAAAGTCTCTCCAGATCAACTGTCCAGTTGCCATCCAAGCCATCCTTTAATTCAAGACAATGCTACTTTCCTCAGTGAGCAGGTAGGGGACCCAGGCCTGCCCATTACTCCAGATTCCAGCACAGGGTCTCTGTTCAGCAACTATGGTCCACTTACCCCAGACCTCATTGCTATTTCCCTGCTCTTCTTCCTACTTTTCTTCCCTCGCTCTGCCCCCACCCCCGGTTATCAGTAGAGCTCCCTCTGCTATTTCACCCCTTTCAGTTTCTTGCCAATCTATAATCCAAACACACTTTCCTCCTCCCAGGAAGTGACTGTAGACTACTCCTCCTACAACCCATTCTGTTCTCAGCTTGCTGGCTTTGTATCAGACCAGCCTATACCTGCTCAGCTGAAATTCATCCTCTAATAGGGATTGCCTGGCCAGCCTAATTCTCTCCCAGGTGCAGTCTACTAGGTTAATTAGCCCCTTCCCAGCCACCTTAACTCTCCCAGGTGATGTGTGGAATGAACACTCCATCACAAGCTTATACATACAGCTTTGCAATGCACCTTAATGCC